ATAATTATGGAGATATATCGTGTATAGTCAATCAAATGATTTTTCATTTAAATCGAATGAAAACAAAAGGTGACTGAAAGAACAACCACTGAGAATGCACTGAAAATTATTGAAAAATATTTATTACAATGAAACTCTATTTCTCCGGTGTCCCAAAAGGTACTGAATATTCTTTAGCCATTTTAAAATAGGGCTCAACAGCATTTTTCATAAAATTGTCACTAATACGTACAAAAAAAGAATAACAGGAAAATTGATATTTTTACAAAAAAATTTCGTTGAGGTATTATACACACCAAGTAAACACAGAAAGTTAATATAAATAATTTAAAATATAGTCAATTAAATCTATTAATCATATTAATGCTTAACGAATTATTTAGATATTGTAATCTCTGTTAATTATTTAAACTGATCGCGAGCAAGAAATGAGATAAAAGGAAGAAATTAGAAATTTATAGGGGATAACAGGTTGAATAGTTTGTAGCAAGTGGTAATATGGAAGAAAAGTGGGTACACGTGGCTCCGCTGTAAAATGGCACATTAGTTGCAAATTACCCTGCGGATGAATACCTGGCGCACTGAGAATTAAACGCGCGCGGTTGTCCATGATTGCTTGGGATCATTCCGGATCATCATGCTGTCGGTTGCTGTGATTGAAACACGAGTCACGTCGGTGTATGTATATCTGTTATCCACGCTTTAAACCAGATGGTGTATTTATGAAATACAATATTTTGATATGTACGTCGAGCCTTACACAATTCCTAAATTGTTAAAAAAAACGTTGCTGTAAACATTAAGTAATATGTTGTTTAATGCTTTAATATCAAACTTTGTGTTTTTTCTATTGTGATAAATACAACAATGTTACTTTATAAATATTTGATTACGATATCGAATCCTCCTTAGTAGATACTTGACCAGTAAAAATTGTATAAACATTCTTTAATGCATAGTTAATTATGGAAAATTGTATAAATACTCTTTGATGCATCTCTCATCATTGAAAACTATGTAAATACTATTTGGTGCATGCATAATTATTGAAAATTATGTAAATACTCTTTGGTGCATACTTAATCGTTAAAAAGTAAGTAAATACTTTTTAGTAGATACTTAATTATTGAAAATTATGTAAATACTGTGTAGTGCATACCTGTCTCTTATACACATCTAGATGTGTATAAGAGACAGATTTTAAATTATTTATATTAACTTTCTGTGTTTACTTGGTGCTGTCTCTTATACACATCTAGATGTGTATAAGAGACAGACTGTGTAGTGCATACTTAATCAGTAAAAAGTAAATAAATACTCTTTGGTGCATACTTAATTATTGAGAATTATATAAATACTTTTTGGCGTATGCTTATTTACTGAAAATTATGTAATTACTCTTTAATGCGTGCTTAATCATCAGAAATTATAAATACTCTTTTGTGTATGCATAGTCATCGACAGTTATATGATAAGATAAGAAGCGTTTAATCTGTTAAATATGTATCCTGTCTCTTATACACATCTAGATGTGTATAAGAGACAGACTGTGTAGTGCATACTTAATCAGTAAAAAGTAAATAAATACTCTTTGGTGCATACTTAATTATTGAGAATTATATAAATACTTTTTGGCGTATGCTTATTTACTGAAAATTATGTAATTACTCTTTAATGCGTGCTTAATCATCAGAAATTATAAATACTCTTTTGTGTATGCATAGTCATCGACAGTTATATGATAAGATAAGAAGCGTTTAATCTGTTAAATATGTATCCTGTCTCTTATACACATCTAGATGTGTATAAGAGACAGACTGTGTAGTGCATACTTAATCAGTAAAAAGTAAATAAATACTCTTTGGTGCATACTTAATTATTGAGAATTATATAAATACTTTTTGGCGTATGCTTATTTACTGAAAATTATGTAATTACTCTTTAATGCGTGCTTAATCATCAGAAATTATAAATACTCTTTTGTGTATGCATAGTCATCGACAGTTATATGATAAGATAAGAAGCGTTTAATCTGTTAAATATGTATCCTGTCTCTTATACACATCTAGATGTGTATAAGAGACAGACTGTGTAGTGCATACTTAATCAGTAAAAAGTAAATAAATACTCTTTGGTGCATACTTAATTATTGAGAATTATATAAATACTTTTTGGCGTATGCTTATTTACTGAAAATTATGTAATTACTCTTTAATGCGTGCTTAATCATCAGAAATTATAAATACTCTTTTGTGTATGCATAGTCATCGACAGTTATATGATAAGATAAGAAGCGTTTAATCTGTTAAATATGTATCCTGTCTCTTATACACATCTAGATGTGTATAAGAGACAGACTGTGTAGTGCATACTTAATCAGTAAAAAGTAAATAAATACTCTTTGGTGCATACTTAATTATTGAGAATTATATAAATACTTTTTGGCGTATGCTTATTTACTGAAAATTATGTAATTACTCTTTAATGCGTGCTTAATCATCAGAAATTATAAATACTCTTTTGTGTATGCATAGTC